GAAAAAAAGGGGCAATAAAAAGGTGACATTTTTTGTTAGAAATGAAATCGCTATTAGTATTAAATCAAGATATCTTTCAAAATTGCGCAGGCTCTATAGGATTTCTTTTTTAATTATATAAAGAATCCGAATCTGCTAGGAACGACGTAAAAAAAAAATCGTTCCGTAATCTGCCCTAATGTAGATCCAGTTTTTTGTCTACCTGAACAATTTTTTAAGGTTGTATAAAAATGTATTATGTTTGACATGCAACCGTGTTAATCCACTGTCACTGAAACTTGGAAAGTTTCTGCAGATTTTTTGTTCGCGCAGAAATTTCAAGTATCTCTCTTTGAAATAAAACGTACAGACATATCCTGACAGTGAAACGGGTAAAAATGTAGACACACAAATCAGTCCCATTAAGGGCTCCCCAAATTTCAACTCCAGTATACATGCATACAAGGCGAATTCATTAAATGTGGTATTAAAGTATAAAAAAGCCGAATTTATTCGAACTGGGAGCAAGGATACAAAAACAATATTATGGGTGTTAAGTCAAATCTCAATTCGCCCTATAGTTTACATGATAGTTTGATGGGTGTGCTGCCAAATCAGTAAAAGCAAAAACTAAATTCGCATTAGCTGAATGACAAATAAAAAATATAAAAGAACAAAACTGAAAACTGAAAACATGAACCTCCAAATTTCCCATTCTTCTTCTTCCTGATAACTATCTGCTAGAAAACTGAAGAAGCAAAGGTATTTTTTCACTGATAGCTGATTTTGTGACCAGCGGCAGTGGAAAAAAATAAATTATTCTTACCGAATTTAGTCAGACGAACTTCGTCGGCGCATTTGTTGTGTGCAATCTCATATACTGCAGTGTGTTTTGATTTTGACAGCAAACTTTCTTCCGACTTAGCTCTGCCGTGTACAACTTGCACAATGAAAAAGTCCCTCCATTGAACAACCGGCCCTAAGGGCAGGTTGCTTAAAGCCTGGTTGACACTTATCTCTGGTTAAACATCGTTATCTACACCGTGTTATATGCATGAAGTCGAATACGTCGATATCGATGTTAACCGTGGATTAGTGTCGACCAGGCTTTGAGCACCAGCCTGAGGGCCGTTTTCACCATCTCTGGTTACCACTAATCACCAGTTAAACGTCGTATGAATTGCAACTTTCTGCACTAAAACTGAAAAAGGTGTAGTGGGCGGGAAAGGGAAATGTTATCCGATTTCAGTGAAATTCGGTTTAAATTTACGAATCGTTTTTAATAAAATCGGATAGTATTTCCCATTCCCTCCCACTATCGTGGGGGAGGGTGGGCGTGGCTGGTCGTTATTCCACAATTTTTGGAATCGGATAACATTTACTATATCCGCCCCCTATCGTAGTGGGCGTGATAGTTCGCCAATTCTCAGCATACATACTTTTCTTTCCTTCAGTCTATGGAATATTGACGACGTGGACGTAGGCAGACGCAGCTGAAATTGGTCATGCTATTAGCTTAAAGTGTACAAGGTATTTCTGTACCAAACACCCTCCACCACACAGCGCCACAAACTACTTATACTTTCCAGAAAAACATCAAAAATGCATAATAGTTATCACAGGAATGTACTTAAATCTGTAAGGACTAGGAAAAATTAGTTTCGTTCCTCAACTTTTCTGGGTAAAAACCACAAAGTACGGGAAGGCTTTTCGGGTAAAAACTGTCAAATACACCGTGGACGCAATTTTTTGTTTACATGGCAGTTTTTTATTATTTGGCGATCTGATAAATTATACGCTAATATACAAGCAAATAAACAAAAATACTTACGAAACGTGATATTTCCTCGCTACGATATAATTAATAAGGTGAAAATGCAGATGTACTTTTGTTTTTGCTTATTCAACTTTCAAATCGTTTAAACAGCTGATGGGGGACATTCGGGTGAAATCTTGCAACCATGGTTGCCACAATTGGTAACTTTCTACCAAAATTGGTACCTTTTAAACGATTTGGTAACTTGGCAACTTTTATTTTATTTTGGTAACTTTTGCAACCAAACATCTATTTGCATTACTATAGAGAAATGAATTATGTTTTGCCTGTGCGTAATTATAAAAACCCTTCGAGTTTCAGTGGCAGCACTACTGACACTTCTACAAATTATGTACAGTAAATTATGAAAAAACCGAAAAAATAGCTCGAAATTTCGGTTAAAAGCACCCGCCGCTATTATGCTATTATTCTGTGAGTCGCAGGTTCAAATATCGGCACATTCCGAAAGAAAAATGACACTGAAGATGGCACAACGCCGAAACCGGTTTGTCTCCAAACCAAATTTGCCAAAAGATGAAGAAAAATCGTTCCACATTACATCATACTCCTGCTAGGGAGGGGAAGTGGGGGGCTGAAATTAGATTTTTTTCGAATTTCGAACATTGCCCAACCATTCGATTATTCGATTCGAAATTTGGCTGTGCAAATTCGATTTAATTCGAATTTTTTCGAATTTTTCTAAAATTTTTTTAAGTGAAACTTCTTAATCGAGTTTGGATATGTTTGCGTTAAATATTTAACACCATGTCATAAAATCTGTATCGTTCGTTCGATTTTCAAAAAGGAGGAAGGTGTCAAATGAAAGGGCTTGCCCTGTAGATGTGTAATATGGTTTTAGCTTTGTGCCATATGAATTTATGTAAGAAAATCAAAATCAAATTATTTAATAAGTTAAGTAAATTACTCCAATATGGGTACCAATCGAAATGATTTTGAATAAACTTTATTTTTTAAGTACATTTAAGAGAGGTGCCACCTATTTAAAAAGTCGAATTTAGTTAAAGAATTGTTTTGCTTAAAATACTATGCAACAACTACAATATTTTTGAGGAGCTTGAAGAGAGTGACCACCTGTTTAAAAAGTTAAACTCAAATTACACTGTAGGACAGCCCAAACCCGCCCGGACTTTGTTAACATATTCTGAAAGTATACCCATCCAGTAGTAAAACACTCGGTGGATTTGCGAAAGTTAGCTCGTATTTTTATTTCATGGCCTACTAAAGTTTTCATGTCTCGGACTAAGTAGTTTTCAAAAAAATACTTAAAATAAATGTCTGAGCGAAATTAAAGGTTAAGACATTTATAATAAAATTTCATGGGAAATATTTTCGTAGAACATTTTAACCTATTAGCTCCCACCTAAAAGGGTAATTTTCATCCTTACTTCAATAAATCCCGCAAAAAGCAAATTTGGAAGGTCGTTAGAGGACTGGTGTACTCTAGAAAATTAGTCTCCGGAAAATTTTACTAGGGGTCTTCTCAGGAAAAAGCTTCGTGCTACGAACGTAAAAGCATCTACATAAAAAATCAACAAAAAAGTACTTTTTACATCTTTTTTTAATTTAAGAATAACAGTTCCTTCTTGGCACAGATTTTTTGCCTCGATGCATCAGATCGAAAAACATGTATTTTTTACTTGCATCCCTAAGACAAATGGAGTGCCACACACAGTGATGGCAAATTTAGTCAGAAACAAGAAAGTTGAAGAGTTGATTTTTTTGGAAATAAATATGAAATTCGATTTTTTCTAGAAAAATTCGATTTTATCCGAATTTCAGCAACACAAAGTTCGATTTCAAAAATTCGCCATTTTGGAGCTAAAATTCGATTATAATTCGAACTAACCCTAACTTCTACCGTGTCGGAAAAACCAACAACGAAAACGAGAATACCGGCACATGCAGTAATTAATTGATAGAAAAATATCTTCTAATAAAAAAAATTATTATAATTGTCGATAGCATTTTCAATCTTGATAATTTATCAAGAAAATAGATTTAAACTTCTTTGCTGTGTTTTGTTTTTTGATAAATAATCGAAAATTGACAATTTATAAAAATATTGAATTTATTAAGTGCACAGAATCGGGCTGTAAGTATATGCACATTTGTTATGAAATATAGCAGTTTTATTCAGTATATTTTTTTCTCAGTGAAGAAGTGAAGATTTTGGTATTGAAGATTTGGTAACTTTTGGTAACTTTTTTTAATAGATTTTGGTAGAAAAAAATGTTGGCGAGTGGCAACCATGCTTGCAACTTCTGACAAAGGGAGGACCGATTTAACTTTCCCATTTTCCTTCTACTTTGCCTTGCCAGAGAACCGAGTACGGGAACGCTTTCTGGTAAATTCATGTAAATTCTGGCAACTTATTGCGCGTTAGGGAACGCAACTATTATGTGAACCTGAATTGGAGCCACCCTTGCGTGCTATTGATATTGATGATGAAGACAAATCCAGTTTCAATCCATCATTCAACTACCATTTCTGAGCCGGTAAAATGCGTATTCGAATTCTTACGTAAAAGTTCTATCCATACATATCCTTTAATAATTGCTAGAGTAGTTAGTAGTAGTAGTAGGAAAAAATTCTTAAAACCTGTTAGTAGACATGTTTAGAATCGAGTCAACCACTTAGCTGGATATTTCCGGGCATTTCGATATTAGGACTTTCTGCCACTCTCAGACCACAGTGCGCCGCCCCAACAGCAAATGGATTTTATGAGAATCTTTTTCATGGCAGAAATACACTGAGAGATTCGCCGTTGGCTTTTACTAACTAAGAAGTTGCTCGGAGCAGGGATCGCTCCTAGGTCCTACGGACTACCATTAGGCACCTCTAACCCCTCAGCTAAAACGGCGTTATCTTACATTGATCCTGTAAAAAAAAATGATTCAAAAAATTATTTTGTTACATGTTCGCTATTTGAAACAAATTGCAACCGTTCAAAAGTCACATACGTTCGAGCACCCAGAGACCCAAAAAAGTGCATTGTGCCACGTTGATGAACTCTTACATCGAAGGTGAAAATGTGAAAATACAGGGAATTTCAATATGTGTAAAAACAAGCTTACCATATAACTATACTTTTTTTTTAAGTAAACAAAATCTGAATGTATCTGCACACATATATTTATTGACTCTCTAAATGGCTAACCAATGTAAATATATTAACCTTCTCCAGTTGAACAGATTTAGAGAACCACCAGCTTTTGGACCTATGTGTGATCTGCTTTGGTCTGATCCATTGGAAGACTTTGGAAATGAAAAAAACAGTGACTTCTTTTCGCATAATTCAGTGCGCGGATGCTCCTACTTTTTCAGGTGAGTCCGTGACTTATGATTTTAAAATCTTATAAAAAGCTTGGTCCCAGTTGATTTGGAGTTCAATGTAGTGAGGGGCCACCTAAAATTATGTTGTTCATTGATTCACATAAACAGAAATATACATACATATGTATGTAAAAATCAATTGCACTTATATACTAGATGCTTTCATTATGCACTTGCACTTTCTTTGCAGCTATGGGGCCTGTTGTGAGTTCCTACAAAAGAACAATTTGCTATCAATAGTCCGTGCTCATGAAGCTCAAGATGCAGGGTAACTGATAACTTTACATACATGTATATCCTCTATATTTTTGCCTATTTTTCACTTTAAATATTAGATATAGAATGTATCGCAAAAATCAAGTCACCGGATTTCCCTCGCTAATCACCATTTTCTCGGCGCCCAATTATTTGGACGTTTATAACAACAAGGTACTTGCTCAAATTATGCACATATCATTCTTTTAGCATACTTATTTACATTTTCCTTGTGGGTGCCAAGTATATGTTTCTACACGTACTTTACAGTGCTCCCCTCTTTGATCTTCTTGGCAAATATTGCATTTAATAATTCTAATAATTTGTTTTTATTTTGCCGCTGGTGCAACGCGACGTCTAACGTAAATGTCACTTGATAAAAGGCAGCTGTACTCAAATATGAAAATAACGTTATGAATATCCGCCAATTTAATTGTTCGCCGCATCCATACTGGTTGCCAAATTTCATGGATGTGTTCACATGGTCATTGCCATTTGTGGGTGAGAAGGTAATTTAGTGCATAAAATCACAATTATGAGCGCGCATACTCGTACATAGTATGGGCTTAAGTAGGAGCACGTGAACATACTTACATACATATGATATGTACATACACTATAATGAATAAAAATTCTGAAATTTTATTACACAAAAGAAATATTTTAACAGGTGACGGAGATGCTGGTGAATATTCTTAACATCTGTTCGGATGACGAGTTAGTGTCTGGCCCCGACGATGAATTGGAAGAAGGTATAGAAAACTTAAGATAAAGAAACCGTAAAGAATTCTTAGCAAAATAATATCGTAACATAAAAAATATCTTCCTACAATATATTGTCGATGCCTTCGCAAACTGCCCATCGGCCATTTGCAAAACCGCCTGAATCGCTATTGTCGCAAAAATGGGATTTTGTAACCCTGAACTTCAGGTATCGAGATTTATGCATAAAAATTGTAAAATCGTTAATAAAAAAAATAATTTTGTAAAATAATAGCTAGATAAAATACCACCTATCAAGTCAATGCTTTCAAAGAAAAACAGTTTTTTTCACTAACCTGTAAAATTTGTGTGCCGTGAGATAGGTTTTGCAAAGGCACCAACGATATCGTCGCTACCATGCCAAACTATCGAATGCGCAAAAATGCTTTTTCATTTACGAAACCTTGCGCATGTCCTTAAAATGCTGCTTTATCGATCACATGTTATAGGCTGGGTGTCGATAACTGGAGATTAGAATTAACCAGACATGGTGCAAACGGCCCTTAGAAGCAGAAGATACTGGATTTAACAAAGTGTCGAATCCCACACTTTTTCCTAATGACAGCCACATTTTTTACAACGGTTTCTTTGCTCTCCTGAAAAGTACCGATTTTCACATTCGATAATTTGACATGGTAGCGACGATATACATACATATATAGTAGGAAAACGGTTTGCAAACACACTTTTTTCGAATATAGAGGAAACATTTCTTGTAACGGAACAAAACAAAATGCTGTCATAGCCGAGTGATTTGTTTGATTGCCCTTCGTTTCATGGGAATTCTGAAATTTCTGATTTCTGAGACAGGATAAAACAATTCAAGTCGATAAAGCATACCGGCTGTCAATTATTAGCAGGCAATCGAGTAACGGCCTTAAATGCACTGAAATTCACTTATTCTTGCACAAGAACGCCGTTTTTTAACTTTTTCTTTATTAATTCTTTTTATAAAACATATGTATATTTTTGCAATTTAACACAATTAAACCACGTTTCCTATCGAAAAGTTAAATACTAATAAAATTCACTGTTTTGACACTTTCTTTTGTCTCCCTTCGGGCTTTGTTAACTTTTATATGGCCAAAAACTTTATACAAATGTACTTTTTTTTATTAAAAAAATGTTTCCGAAGAATTGTAGTACTGGCCTCCTGCCCTTGATTTGAAATCGTTCTTTTCTTGTTTTATAAATGTCCCCAAAGGCTTCTCAAAAATCCAAGAAAGGTCAAACAAGTAAAAACTCGAATTTGATTGGGATGGGCCTTGACTTTCATCCTCTGAAAGACACATGGCTTTCATTAGATCACTTTGGTTTTGGAATACCTCCGTTTGACGAAACGCGATCTGAACTCATTTGGCTATGGCAGACTCGGTTTGCGTTAATTATTCGGCCCACAATATTTCAATATATTTTATTTATATATTGTTTTATATAGGAATCTAACAAAATAATTTGGGTAGAAGCTAGGCATTTACAAATGAGGGGTGCCTAACCAAAATTAATATTTCCACGATACAGATAACAAATTAAAATGCACAATCTCAAAATATATCTAATAAGGGTACTCATCGATTCTCGCAAGTTTCATATTTGGACAATTTTATATTCTGTGCAATTTCAGACATTTAATTGTTTGACAATGCTTAATTTAAAAAGTTGAACAATTGAAACTCGAATTTAAGAAAATATTTAAGTCTTACGAAAAAGCGTTGAGCACAATTCAAAATGAAAGTAAACAAAATAGTTGGTTGAGGGTTGCACATCACCCTGCGCAAATTTGCGCGACAAAATTTCCGCACAAACTTGCCCTTTTTGTGCAAATAGCTTTTCATACAAATTTTGACATTTCATTTCCGAGGGTTTTAAATTGCACAGTTTACCCAGTTTGCGAGAGTTTTGCGCGTTTAAATGAGTACCCTTAATGTGTTTTGGAAGTGTTTATAAGGAAATATCGTCTTTGGATTAGACACTCCGCAATTAATACACTCACACACTACAATATTTAAATATAAATTTCTTTAGTTCTTTTGTTATTTTTATAATTTTTTAACAATGCTTACATATATGTATGTATGTGCGTATCTAAATGGTTACTCTATGTACGTCTGTATCTCGGTGTGCATGCATATTTATTTTGTTTTTTTATATGTCAAAATGAAACCAAAGAGCTCCGCAAGAAAATCGTTCTTTTACCAGTGAACACGAATAATACACCAGCACCAGCCCCCAAAACAGGTAAGCCAAGCGCTTGTGCCTCTTGGAGTGCATTGGCTTGAGAGCTGTGCTTTATATTTGACTACATATAAATACATACATACGTATTTAGGTGATTCGCAAGTCGTCTGAAGCGTCGTAATGCTTATTAGTCGTAAAATTTTGGAACGTAAAGTAACGATTAAAATATTTTAAGACGTTTTTAACCTAAACTATTTTAGCCGTTATTTTACGTAGAAAAAGTTTACGACTTTAAGACATTACGACGTTTAAGATGACTTATGATTCCCCTAATTATGGATGTAAATATGTAGGTTCCGCTGCTTCAACTGCATTTCTATTCTATTTGTTGCTTCTTCCATCTTTAAGTAGAGTTTAGTGATACATATTTTGCTGTTCTTAACAAGCTATGCTTTTTATGTAAATACATATATATGTATATATACATATGTACATATACAGATATGTATGAATAGTAATTATATTCAAAAACCTGGAAGGAAATTAATCTTTGTTTAGTTTAGGATCCAGCCATGTGCATATGGTCAATTTTTCCGAAAACTAAACCAGTCCCATTCTTTTTGTGCATATTGGAGACTAGAGTTACCCGGTCACGCCTTGCTGTGGCTTAGTCTAATAAAATGGAAACATGAAAATCAAATAACTTATGTCAATTTTCAATCTCGAACGTAAAGCACAAAATACAATAGCGCAGTGGCAGTGACAGTTTTTTAAAATCAGCTGTTACTGCTAATATTGGCAGGCACTGCCGCAGCAAACACAATACGGCGCAGACTCATTGCCAACACATTTGGTCTTCTTAGTAAAAGATTCCGTGGTATAAAGTTAAGATATTTTTATAGTATTCTTAAATATTTATATTAATTAAAAAAAGCACTTATATTTGCAGAAATTCATTTTCCACAAAACGCCAACAAAGTAAAATGAAAAACAACTCTGCCACAATGTAAGAGCTTCTGGTGTTTTCAATCGCTACCAAATTTTTTGTTTTTTTTTTTTCACAGTTCTTGCACAAAGTGTGTGAACAAGTACAGTTATTCAGGCAGGTCTGAAATTTCCTTCCGAATGCAATTACTCAAGTTCACTTTGAATCCAAATTCTGGTGTTTTTTGCATTTCTCGTTTTTCATGCCAAATGCAAGTGAATTAATTTTTTTCGTTTTCAACATCACTTTCAGGTTATAAATAAAACAGTAAAAATCTCGGGATGACGGGATTGAATGCCTGCCTAATTTGTGATTAGTTTTTGAGGAAGAATCCAGGGCAGGTCTGGGTTTTTTACAGGATACGTTCCAGGTTAGCCAAAAAATTGGGTAGGGCCTTACTTCAGTCGTAATGAAATGCACCGCAATTGTTAGGTGAAAAGTCGCCAGTGAAAAGCTTAACAAGTTTTTTTTCGGGTACTTAAAGCTCAGTTAGTCTAGATTTCCTATACTTAACTTACCATGACTTAAATTAACCTAATATATTTTGGCGAAACTCTTATACGTAAAGCTTTGTTAGTGGTCAGTGAAATCATAATTTACCGTAAGAAACGTACATAAATTTAGAGCGAGGGCTTGCCAGATTTTCGTTTTTGTAGTTCTCAAAAATAAATATATGCAAAATTTTTTTTTCGTATGCATGTTTTTGATGTGTATTATGGTCGACGAACTGTCAAAACATTCCCGCGTCTGGCTCAAGTTGTCGTGTTGAGTAATCAATGACAATTTTTTAAAGGTAAGTTAAGTCTAGATCCTAGACTAACTGAGCTCTTAAATAAGTGTAACGTGGACAGAATTTTAATTTTTATTGAAAAAATTATATATGTTATATATAGAAAATGACCCTCCTTTCATTTTAACAATAAATAATACGATATATTAATAAATTATTCGGATGAACAATTCCGAGTCGATTTCGACTTTCGACCAAAATCGAATTTTTACTCTTCAAAGTCGAGTTTTAGTGATCGACTTTCAGCTTGTGGAAGTCGTTTGAAGTCAACTTTTCAGTTTCGCCTCTCGACTTTTTTTAATTTATTTGCAGTGGCGTCTCTTCAATTAAAACTTATCTTCTTACAAGGGCGCAGAGTGCTATTTGGTCGTATTTAAAAAAAAAACGCCAATAAAACTTAAGTGAAATGTGATAAGTGTGATATATAAATGTATTTTAATGACAGTACAATAACATTGTCAAATCATTTAAGAGCAGCGCATAAGATTATTATACGAAAACAGATTCCTCGAATTTGTTAATCGTTTGTCTCCACAATCTTCAGTTAATTGTGATGTAAGATATACGTAGATATTTATTTTAATAATTTCATGTAAGAAAGTTTTTCTCCACTAGTTTATGTAAGTAAGTAGTAAGTAGTGAGGAAGACGAACCCGAGTCCCCAGTCGATGATGATGGAGTAGCTGTCCCACCGCCTGACTATGACGAGGTACGAATACAACAAAGCTGCTGGAGCTGACGGCCTGCCAGCCGAGCTATTCAAGTACGGCGGCGAGGAGCTGATGAGGTGCATGCATCAGCTCGTATGCAGAATATGGTCAGATGAACGCATGCCCGACGACTGGAATTTAAGTGTGCTCTGCCCAATCCACAAGAAAGGCGACCCCGCCATACGCGCCAACTACCGCGGAATTAGCCTTCTAAGCATAGGTTACAAGGTCTTATCGAGCGTATTGTGCGAAAGACTGAAGCCCACCGTCAACGAGCTGATTGGACCTTATCAGTGTGGCTTTAGGCCTGGAAAATCCACCAT